TAGCTGTGCAACTTGATGAATCTCATACACATCTACATTCTAAAACTAGTATCAAAATCTACACAATTGACACCTCCATCATTTACACAGATAAAATGATCTGTGTTCACTTTGTTTCCTATACTGAGAACAATTAGGACACATCCTCATGGCATGTTTTCAGTGTGTGGTGTAGTGATGTTGTTTTCACACTGGGGCACAAATGGGAGTAAAGAAATGAAAACCACAGGAGAAACACAATGCATGTGTGCCATATGATGGACTTCCATAGATCTGTGCACACCACCATGCCTATAACTCATAGAACATCTGCTGGACATGCTGGTGAGTGATCAGGTTCATTTGGGATGTGCTGAAGGAAGTATTGAACATGAACTTACCATGATTCTGATAGCATTCAATTTATGGTGAGAGAGGCAGTACTGTGAGCAAGCAGAGGCCTTCACAGAGTGTGAACTGAAGCCATGGTAACTACATACTGATCATGTGCCAGCACTGGTCTGTTCCTACCTGCTGTGCTGCAGAAGGAATGGGCTCCTCACAGTGTCATAACCAGCCCTCTCAGACATGACTATAAATAGGAGAGGCCACAAATTTCATGGGACATTGGACAACCAGGACTACAGTGAAAGCTTGTGTGGTAATGAGAAGTCATAGTGAAAGTACATACCCATTCTCCCAGGCCACTGCACGTAGGTGACTCCTCTGCAGATTAATTGATGCTAACAGGAAACTGCATGTGTCAAGATGTGCATTTCATCTCATGTCCACAACACAAAAACACCTCTCAAAATAACTCAAGGTGTTTCTAAACGCTAGTAAACAGGAAGTTATGACTGGGGGAGGGGATTTATACCCTATGTTTATGAGAGAGCTCATACATTGGTCTCCACAATGTGACTGCTGTTCACTTCATGAGGTACAAATGTGTCAGTCAATTTTCCAATAATAAGACATATCATCTCATTCTGTCCTTCTTGTAAGTAATGACTGCATGAGCCAAGAATTCACCTTCACATTTACATGGGTTGGGACTGTCTGTGTGTTCTGTTCACTCTCCACACTGGTCCCTTTTCCCATGCCCTTTATAATTCATTTTTATTACATTTGCAATTTACTTAGCATTTGGCATATTTTCATATCTCAGGACATGAAGGAATTATATTTCAAGGAAGCAAAATAAATGGTCAGTGAGCTAGAGATGTAGCTTTCTTGGTAGAAGAATTGTCTACTATGCAAATCACCATGGGCTCCATCCTATGAAGCGCATGAATGGTGTATGATGGTGCAGCTCAGACACCATAAAACTTAAGTGGTAACTACAGAAGACTTAGAACTTCAAGGTCGTCCTCAGTTACACAGCCAGTTGGACACACTGCATAAACAGAAAACAGATCACCAGTCCCATATACACGGTATGAAGAGTTGGCCATTAAAAGGCTTCCTGAGTGGGTCTCTACTTTTACCTAAAACCTAGTGAGCATAATTTTCACTGACTGTACACGAGCTGAATTCTAGTCTCATGATCCCTCACAAAAACTGTGCATTAAGTTCTCTTTATGGTATTCCAGGCTTTCTCTATCCAATTTGGTTGTTCATAATTCCACCAGAATCCCATTAAGTCTGATCCACTTTATCTCAGGAGTAGTAACAGAAGAAAACACAACTGTGCCATCATCCAAACAAACAAAAATACAAATACTGAAAGAGAACTTTTTATGAGGTTGTGATTTAAACTTAAAATAATGGAAAAACTTTTGGCTCACAGATTAAAAGCCTCATCTCTTCAAGAGTTTTGCCAACTTCCAATAAAGCCACACTGAGAAGCAAGCTTCTGACCTGTGGCCTCGGGGACAGTGCAGAGTCATTCTGGATCCAATCTGATTGGTCATGATGAATCTTCCACTTCAGTGTACCTCCTCTTTCACACATGGCTCTGGACCTGCTGCTCTGTGATCCAGGGACACCTCTGCTAGATGCACTGTGAGCACTGTGTAAACTCACACTATGACAGAGGGCCATGGGCATGGTGCATCCAAACACTTCCTGCTGGGAGACACAAAGCACATATTCTACCCAGAGCAACATCACTACCACCAAGACTGTATTGGCTATAAGCTAAAATGATGGCCCATCAGCTATAGGCTGCCTTTGCATTCTCTTCTGCCTTGAAAAGATAAGGAAATCTTGAAGAAGGGGGGAGAGATTGAAGTCAGCTAAGTCATGGGGGTGAGCCATTGAGGGGGGCATTTGTCCTGAAGCCCTCCTCTTCACTCTGCTTCCCCTCTTACCTAAGTACTTTCCTCCCCTCACCCATAACTCATACTGCCCTGTTACATTTCCACCCAGGACCAATGTGCCCAGTTCATGTGACCTGAACCATGCCCAGTTCTCTGAACCATGAGCCTAAATCAACCTGCCTTCACCTTCACTTTATCTGGGGTAATTTTCACAGTAATGGAAAGTTCATGAACACACCCTCAGGTCTACTGTGAAATCATCAAATCTCCAGGCTCTGTCATGTCCAAAGCTGCATCACAAAGTACATATTCTTCACACAGTAGGATAGGGGCTTTCTCAAGGGTGACCACAGCCTGATCTCTTAGCTCTGGGTTCTCTTGGCACTGCCTGGAGACTTTGATGATGCAGGACCCTCATGCAGGGCCCAGGATAAGTTCACTGGTCCCTAGACTCTCTGTCCAGGGAAACTGCTGTGTTACTAGTCCTACAGCTCTTCTCCTCACCTTCACCATTACTACATGAACAGACAGGAAACACCATGACCTGTCAAGGATCTAAACACTCGAGATGCAGCATGTGTGAACCATGGGATGTAGCTGTCCTACGGAATACACAGTGGACCTCATAATCAACTTTGCCAAACAAAATGTTACTTCCTGACTGAAGACAGTACAAGAGCAAGACCCCAATGTGAAGCCCAGGCTGGAGCATCTTATTCAACAGAACAACATTTTCCACAATGACCGCTGGATTCCAGGACACAGCGAAGCACAGTCTGAGACTCAGCCAATAGGTCTTGGTCATGGGAAACAGGCTGGAAATGTCACTGAAGGGTAGTTACTGGGAGTGTCCCTCATGTCTCTGGGACAAATCGCCAACATTGGAAAGGGAATCTGATCTCATGGGGAAGAGCAGCTTTATCTGAGACCCTATGTAGTTGTTCATCTACAATATCGAACAATTTGTGCTCAGGGTAGAGAGAGGAACAGTTTATGATGGGCTGTAATTCCGCAGTCCATGGCCATGATGGACTTTCCTAACAAACTGGTAAGAGAGTTTGCACCTGCTGATTCCCATAGTGCTGGGAATTAAGGAAGTGAGACTCTGGACTGTGGTGCATTGCTAAACTTCTCATGATGAGACCAAAAAAATTATCTGACTCTACAGTCCCTGAGAGAGGGACAGGAAATCACTCAGGGTGCAAACCAACCAAACACTCAAGGTGCCCTGTGCCTGCCAGGGTATCAATCACACAAAAACCCAGAGAGCCCCACCCTCAAGACACAGACACATAGAATCTGCTCAACAGTGAGGCTGGATGACATCAGAGAAAACTGTTTACCACCATGAGCCTGTCCCTGAGCAGCAAAAGGACCAATCTTCATGTGGACGAGCACTGATGGACATGTAGGAAGACAGGATTATCCCACCAGTGTTGTGTGTTCAGTGACTGTGATACATGAACAGTGATCCATAAATGAGGTGATGACAAGACAAGGATGGAAGACAGGTGTGGTCACGCTTCTGCTGAGGGGCTTTCCAACACAGAGAAGTTGTACTGCTGTGGTGAAGATGTGAGGCAGGGACATCAGAGAGGGCTGATGTGAAACCGTCTATTGATGACTCCATCCTCTAAGGCTAGTCTGTCACAAGGAGCTCATTCCACCAGCAGGTGGCAGGGCCTCTTCCTCCTGGGACTGATGCCTGTGTGGAGCATGAATATGACTGACCTCACAACCCGAGTGCAGATCAGAATGATTTCCAAGGAGTATTTCACCATGTGATCGTATCAGAGACAAGTATGAATGAAGTTAATTGGGAAGAAATACGATGGTCATGTGACATACCGAGCACACAAGTCACAGAAAGGCATCAGACACTGGGGCTGGGGTGCTGTTGCCCTGACAGAGAGTGGGCATGCCACCTTAAACGTGCTTGTAATGAAAAGCCTGAATAAACTGCTGTCAGAACTTGTTTGCTTTTACTGTTTGAGTGCTTGGTTGTTTGCTGGTTTTTGTTCGGGGGCCAATACAACCCAGGGTGACCTCAAATTCGCTGTGAAACAAGAATGATTTTGTAAGCTGGACATGGTGACACACAACTTTACTTCCAACACTTGGGAGGCAGAGGCAGGCAGATTTTGGGTCTCTGTATGTTCTAGGTCAGCCTGGTCTACACAGTGAGTTCCAGGATAGCTGGGGCTATAGAGAGTCCCTTTCACAAAAAGACCAAAAAAAGAAGGAATGACCTTGAATTCTGATTCTCCACACCATGAGGGTGAGGATCACAGGCATGAACCAAGTCACCAGATTGATACAGTGATGGGATCAAACCAAGGATTTCATGGATGCCAGACAAATACTCTCCATGGAAGCTATCTCTCAGGTTCCAGGGGCTTTTATCTGATATAATAAATGTACATAGAAATGAAATAGGGTTACTAAATATAGACTGAAAAGAAGAAAAATATTAATACTGATAGTCATTGATGTTCTTTTGATTGGTAGAATTCATGTCTCAGAAGCAAGAGGGGAGAATACTAAGTACTTCCATCACTTTCTCCATAGTACACACAGGCAGTGAGTGTCCTGTGCCTGCCCTTCTAGGAGATGTTGGATTGGTAAATTGTCCTAGAGTAGAGACTCATGCCAGTGAACATGATAAGGAAATACTCTAGAGGAAATCCATGACACCCCCTTTTTCACATGGATGCTTCACATATTACATTCTTCTGTTATGCACAGTTTTCATTGACGATCATGAGGTTCAGGGGCAGGTGAGCAGGCAGCTTAGATAACTTCCCGGAATTCTGATGGAGGTTCACTGGGGACAACAGTGAATGGGTGCGTGAGCTGAGCTCTTCACCAAGGATCCAAATTTGTTCAAGTTACAACCCCTGTTCCCTGTGACTGAACTCACATCATATACAAAAGAAGAAAGACAGGAACGATTTTGCTTTTTAACATATTGAAAACAAAACATTGAATCTTATGGGATGAAACTGGTAATGTGTCCCATTGGTAAATTCCTGTTTATTTCTAGAGGCCCCATTCTCAATCTCCAGGACAAAAAACACACTGTCATGTCTTTGAGTAAACAAAGGAAACACTGAAAAATGTCTGTAGTGATAAGTGAGCACATTTAACAAAGGAACAAATAGCTGAGCACTGTGTGTGCATCTGCATTCCAGACTTGGAAGTCTGAGGCATGAGGGTTGTGAATTTGGGTGCAGACTGGGCTACAGGTTACAACCAGTTCTCAAAAACAGAAAAAGACAAAGGCTGTTAAATATGACACAACATTTTTGCAAATGCTAAAGTTTAGGAAAAGAACAAAGGAAACATCCACTAAACATTGTTAATGTATTATTGCGTCACCTCTACTGCCTTCCCTCTAAATCGACACAAGTGCTGTAATACCCAGATATCACCTGCCTAGTTCATTTATGGGTCTTATTTCCTTTTGAGGGTCCTCTGATCGTCCAAAGGGAAGATACAAGCAGGCACACTTTTATGAATTACAGGCCAGCCTCATCCACACAGTGAGTTCCGGGCCACCAAGGGCTATTCAATGATACTCTGTCTCAAAATCAAACAACAATCAAGCAAAGACAATCTATGTAAGACAGATGCTGGGGAGTCTAGGATCCAGACACCACAGCACCCAAGAAAGGACAACTTGTCTCTTCTGAAGGACAGTTCCGTTTCCTGTGGGTTAGCGGAAATGAAGCTCTCATGAGAGGATGGGGGATCAAGCCTCTAAAAGCCATAACCTGTGAGTCTGCTCATCCGACAGGGCACTGTCCCCAAACTCTGCAAGGCTGCAGCCACAAGGAGTAAAGGCCATGACCCCCACCTTCATAGCCCTGCTCTGCCTTGGTAAGACATGAAGAGTGTGAGGGAACCACCCTAGGCTAGGAATGACCTGCATAACAGCTGAACATTTTATGATCAAGTCATCTCGGGGACTCAGAGGCAACTAGGAGGGGAAGATTTGCTCAGGCTTCAGGGCCAATCTCTCACAGAGAACTCTCTTCCAGGACTGAGTCTCAGCCTCAGGACTCCAGTGCTGGCAGGTAAGTGTGTCCCCAGATGTCACAGGTAAGTCCTCATCACTGAGCACAAGGGGTCAGTTGTGGGCACTGGAGACAGAGAACATGTGTGGCTGATACTGTGGAAACTGAGGAGTGTCCCAGGGCTGAGGGCTGGCATCTAAGGTAGGATGTCCTCTGACCCAGCGTCTGATTTCCCTGCAGGAATGATCCCCAAGCCCACAATCAGGGCTGAGCCAGGCTCTCTTGTCCCCAAAGGGACCCAGGTGACCATCTCATGTGAGGGGACTGCAGGCGCCTTGGGATACTATCTCAATAAAGGTGGACAAAAAGATTCCTCATGGCCACAGACCCCATTGTACCCTGGGAACAGGGCCCATTGGTTCATCCCATCCATTGAAATGCACCATGCAGGCCTATATAACTGTTCCTACCTCACCCGTGCTGGATGGTCAGAGCACAGTGACTCACTGGAGCTTGTGGTGACAGGTGAGAAGACACTCAGGGGTCCAATCCTAGGCTTTACTCTCATGAAAGGAGTCTGCTCTCAGAGATGTCCTCCCTCACATCCTAGCCAGGAAGACAGTGTGGGCTGTGAGAGTCCATTTACCACCCTGCCTCTTCTACTAGGATTATATACAAGCAACCTCAGCCTCAAAGGCTGGCACAGGGCCGCAGTCATTAAAGAGGGGATTATCTTCTTCCAGTGTTTCTCAGGGAAGCAATAAGAAAGTCGGTCTCAATAAGGAGGGACCACAGGAGATCTCCTGGACCCTGAACTCACAGCATATACAGTCTACTGGGGAGTCCCAGACCCTGTTCTCTGCATGCTCTGTGACACCCAGCCAGAGATGGAGGATCAGATGCTATGTCTCTCACCTGAGGAACCAAGGTCTGGAGAGACCACAGTAAGCCCCTGGAGCTCATGGACTCAGTTCAGGCATCCCTGACCTTGCCCAAGAATTACCTGACTTTGGATCCCAGGGGAAACCCTCTTGTATAAAGTGTGAGGGGAGAGAGGGCTCTGAACACCACTGACACTGGGTCTGGAACACGGTGGCCCCAAGACACAGAATCCAAAGTGGAAAATGTGAGCAAAACCCAGGAGTCTGAGAGCAGGATTGGTCTCCTATGGCTTCCCTATTCCTCCTGCAATTCAGGATCCAGCTTAAATGTCATCTCCAAGTGTGAGTTTCACTGTGTCACCATTCAAACAGACCCATCCTCCTCAACTCATCTTTCCTTGCAGGCACCCTCCAAAATCCCACCATCAGGGATGAACCACTCTCTGTGGTCACCTCAAGATGACCTTCTGGTGTCAGGGGGCAGTGGAGGCACAAATACATGATCTGCATAAAGAAGGAATCCCAGTCCTGTGGAACCCACAGACCCCACTGGAGCCTAGGAATTAGGCTCTTTTCCATTCCATTGCCAGAGGAATATGGAGGGTGATATTGTTATTACTATTACAGCCCTGAGGGCTGCACTGTGTAGTGGTGCACTGGAGGTGGTGATCATAGCTGAGGTCCCCATACCCAGGCTCTGCCCTCAGGAAAAGCAGTCTGATCTCACAGTGCCTCTTCTCACCATCTAGCCCTAGGAGATAATGGGGGAGATGAGAGTTCATTAGCATGCTGCCTTGTTCTTTCCTAGGAATCTACAACAGTAAACCACAGCTGCTGGCTCTGCCCATCCCTGTGGTGACCTCAGTACAGAACCTGACCCTCCATTGTTACTCACGAGGAGTATATGACAGGCTCGTTCTGACCGAAGAAGGAGAACAGAATCTCTCCATGTCCTTGGACTCACAGCATTCACCACTTTGGAAATCCCAAGCTCTGTTCGCCTTGGGCCCTCTGATACCCAGCAGCAAGAGAACCTTCAGATGTTATGGCTATAACAAGACAGACCCACAGAAATGGTCAGAATCCAGTGAACCCCTGGAAATACAAATCTCAGGTAGGAAACCCCATTTTTCATGGCATCATTTTTGAGGCCCTTTGCCATGAGTCCTGTTACTGTCTGCGGATTCCAGCTGGGAGGAAGGCTGAACGGACCTCTTTGCTCCTGAGCCAGAGTCCCACAGAGTGAGAGACCATGACATCTGCAGGGCATAATGGAGGGGAAATATATATGGTAGGAACGAGATCCTCAACCACCGTTCCATCTGGCCTCCAGGGTTGTCCTAGCAGCCCTTCCTGATAATACAACCAGAACCTATTCTGACCCCCAGAGAGATCCTGACCCTGCAGCACAGCTCTGAAATCAAGTAGAACAGATTTTCTTTGTTCAAAGAGAATGAAACTGGCCTCCCTCAAAGTCCAAGCTGAGAGCCCCAGGATCATCTTTCTGAAGGAAGCTTCCAAATTAGCCCTCTGAGGCTTTCCACTGGAGGCTGGCACAGGTGCTATGGTGCACAGAGACTCTCCTCCCAGTGGGCAGTCCCCAGTGATGTCCTGGACATACTGATCACAGGTGAAGGGCCAAGTGAGTCCAGTAAGGATCCAGGATCTTCACAGACCCTACTAGGGGAGCCCATGGATAGAGACTAGGGTGAAGGTTTGGAGAATAAGGGAGGAACATAAAAGAGGCAGGGGAGAAGGAAGGCTCAGAATCTGAGAATCCAGACACAGAGTACCATATCCTCAGATTCAGGCTGTAGTGATGTCTCACCTCAGAAGGAAAAACTCAGCCCTTCACTCATCCTTCTCTCTAGAACGTCTCAGTGTCATACCCTCCTTCTCAAAATAGCCAGATCCCTCCTTGTCTTCAGGAGAAAACATGACCCTACTGTGTCAGTCATGAAGTTGGGTGGACACTGTCCTTCTGACCCAGGAAGGGGTAGTCAATTCTCCACTCTGTCTAAGCTTGAGATCTCACACTGGGGAGTACTGGACAGACTTATCCACGAGTGCTGTGACCTCATCTGTTTTGGGGACTTAGAGGTGTTATGGTTTTTAACGTTTACCCCCTACCTGTTGTCATGGATCATTGCCCCTATGGAAATTGTAGCTTCAGGTATGAGGACACTGAGCTCAAATGGTAACTCACCATCCCGCCCCCAGGACAGCCCTTGGTTAGGATTGGATTAAAGGTCATAGGAAGTCTCAGACAGGAGATTGACCCCTAGGAGAGCTGGAGACCACAGGAGGCCCTCCTAGAATGCCTACCCCACCTCCTTCATGAAATTCTAGGTTCCAGCTGGGCATCAGGAGGTTCCTGGGGAGGCCACAGGGCAGATGTAAGAGAGTGAACAGCAGCTGTGTCTCCATGTCAGATTCTGCTTCTTCCCTTCCTCTTGTCCTCTCTCCCAGGTTCCTCTGTAGACAACAGCAACCTACCCACAGGGACCAACTCAGGAGCTGGCAAGTGTCAGGGGCTTCAGTCCAGGGACTTTGCTCCATCCCTGATCTAACTGGAGGCAGAGCTGATCCCATGTTGCATGATCCTGACACTAGGAGGTGCTGAATATAAAGTCTCAGCATGGAGCTGGCACACATTAGTTGCTAAAGTCAGCTAACACTGCTCCTGACATATGAAGTCATTTGTGCCACAGGACTGAGAAGTTACCAGATGGTTTTGAGAGGGGTCTCAAATTATGGTGCTGGACAAGGAGGGTTGAGTCTTGTGTGAGGGTGGCAGGTAACCTGGGTGAATATGCAGTCATCTCTGATGATTTTGGTCTGGTCTGACCTCTGGGACCTCTGTCCATAACTGCAGACTTACAGTCCGAGGGTCACACAGTGGAGAATCTCATCAGGATTAGTGTGGCTGGCTTGGTCCTTGTCGTCCTTGGGATTCTGCTGTTTGAATCTCAGCACAGCCCGAGAAGGATCCAAGAGGCTTTGGGAGTGAACAGAAGAGACAACAGTGCATGCTTCATGCTGACTGATGCCAAGTTTATGTAAATAAAAGAGCTTATGTTGGCAACTATCAGAGAATGTTCAGTGAATCAGTGTGTTCAGGATGATGAGGTGAGAGTTCTTCCTTCTGAAAGTAAAGTTTCTTTACTCGGCTTTCGTTGTGGACATTTGCTGACTGTCCTCTCTTCCCAGTCCATTACGACAGTGGAGATCTTGTCCCATCAGCCAGGATTGCAACCTCACCTCTATGATCTTCAGTTTTCTCTCATTTTGTGTAAACATTTCCGTTATTTTAAATAACCACATTCTTCATTTACACTATGAACCTCCATGATTTTTTTAGTATGAAAAAAGGATTTTGCTAAATAACAAAATAATAATATGAAAACAGAAAATCAGACTCCAGACTGAAAAAAAATAACAATGAAAATGACAACCCCAACCTCTCTGGGTTCCTAAGACATTTCAGCCTTCAAAGCACAGTCTTTCCATGGTTTCCCATGAAATGTAAAGATGACATCAATACATTGGTGTTTCATGAACTCTAGTAGTACATTGTGGACATGAATTTGAAAAAGTAATTTTCTCCAAACCAGGTCTTGATTTGCAACATTTTTATTAGTCTATAAAATCCCTACATAGAAACCCCTTCATGACATCCATGTAACTATATTCATGACGTCAGGAGATGCTATATAACACTGATTTCTTGTTCCCTTCAGTTTTCACTGTCTGTTGATGGGACATGCAAAGCCAATGAGCACATAGATCAATCATCCCAGAATCATCTCCCTATAACCACTGATTAATTCCTGGAAATTATTTTCTGTAGAGCAAAGGAAAATTTCTACATAGACTCTCATTTCCTCTTCATATACTTACAACTATATATTTTCAAGCATATGAAACGGGCACTTACTTCAGTTACTGTATTAGCTGAGACTTCAAGTAAAGGCTGAAATTGCCTGTACAGAGGGAGAAAGCTGTCCGTTCTATCTGTGAGGAGCTATTGGTACTTGGTAACTGCTGGAAGAGGGAGGGTCAGTTTTCATCAAGATGTGACACCAGATAAACTGTTCTGTCTCCAAGGATGGATCCACACCCAAGAGTTTTTGGAGAACACAACTTGCACTTCACAGCTCTTCAATAACATATGACATGAAGTGGAGGTGGTTTAGAGAGAAGGCAGTGGATCTGAGAGGAGATAGGGGAGGGTGTCCAAAATCTCAAAGAGTCAATAAAAATAATATTTTTATTTAAAGGAAAGTCAGCAGTCTCCTAGAAATCCTGTAAAACATTGGTTTTAATTAGCTTCCTAATTCAGTCTCTGTTTTCACCTAAAACCTCCTGAGCATAACTCACACTCTGCATCTGTCCACATTCTGACCCCTCACCACAGCTGCCCATGAAGCTCTGCTGTGGGAGCCTTGACATCCTACCCCACTTCACCAATTCTTTCCAAACCAACATGAAGACTAATGCAATTCTCACCTACATTTTCTCAGTTGTAATCACAGGAAAAACTCCAACTTCTCGGTGCCAATTTCCATTATATTTGTCAACTTTCAATCATTAGGGCTGAAAGGAAATAAAATAAAAGGGAATATTTTATGAGAATGTAGCTAAACTTAGAAAAAAGTTTTGGGCTCACAATTTGAAAACATTCAGTCTGTGGTCTCCTGGTTTACTCTCATTCAGGATTGTGGTGAGACATCACAGAACAGTGGAGCAGGGCAGAACCTGTTGTAGAAAAAGCCACAATTAAAATAACACCAGAAGCAAAGGCTTTCAAGTCACTGCAAGCTTGCACTTGTGAACTTGTGGCAAAGGTGCATTCAACATAGGACCCATGACAACTCAATCAGACAAGGGCCCAGAGTGGAGCGAGGGAAGTGTCTGGTGGGTCATCTCCAGCCTGGGAACTATGGGAGACTGATCACTACTAGGTGAGGGAGAGTAGACCTTACCAATGATCTCTAGATAAACTGACTAGACTCCAGTGGATTAATTTGCACCGAAGGACATCTGAGTCCAAGTGATTGACTGGATAGGAATTAACATGTATGGTGGAATGCTTGAGGTCCAGTGGGCGTAAATGGATGCCAGATGGATTATAATTTGATTAAGAAAATTTGCTCCTTAATAACTAGTAGATGTGAAAAACATTACCATTAAAATCTACCTGATGACTTTCTATCCATGCTCAGATGCTAAGGAGCTCAGAAAGTGACCCACAGTGACGAGCAATAATCAGAGATATAGAGATTAGAAATGCATATGCATCTTAGTGTCAGTTGTATTAAAAATGAATCTTTTCTGTATGAAACGGTGTATTTTAATAATGAAATGGAGATCTTTTTCAAAGTTTAAAACCTCATTTAATTTTATGTCATAGGGTTTATAATGAGTACAATATTGAGAGCTTTAACATATTCAGTAACACACTCCAGAGCAGGAGCGCATCTCTTTCACAAGTAGCTATAAATCTCTAGGTTCACAGGTGAATTAATACAGTTATGCAATATTGAACTCAGTATAAGCCCTGTAAGATATAAAATTGAATGAGTTTTTTAACCTTTAAAAAAGAGCTCCATTTCATTTTAGAATATATTGTTCTTTGAAGAAAGACTCATTGTTTTTGCTACTAACATTGAGACGTTGGTGCATGCATCTCTAATCAGATATATAGAGATTAGAAATGCATGTACATCTTAGTGTCAATTGTATTAAAAATGAATTTTTCTGTATGAAACTGTATTTTAGTAATGAAATGGAGATCTTTTTAAAGGTTAAAACCTCATTTAATTTCATGTCTTATAGGGTTTATACTGAGGAAAATATTGTATAACTGTAACAATTGAACTGTAATCCTAAAAATTTACAGCCAATTTTGAAAAAGATGCATCTTAGCTCAGAAAATTGTTATTGAATATGTCAATGCTGTTGTAATGAAATTCTTCTTCTAAGTATGTGGTTATCAAATAAATAATAAACTGAAAAAAAGAACTGTTATATGAAATGAAAAAAATCTCAGCAAAAATTAAAAAACTAAAACCAAAATTATGAGACCAGCATCCCAGCATTTCCTCAGTGACCACGCCCCCAGTCCCTAAAACTGTCTGATACACATCTCATAAGTGTTGCTCCAAATTCCAGTTAAGCAAAACTGACCACCAAGCTTTGACACATGGCCTTGGGGGGCAGTGCAGATCCATGTGGAGCAGTCCTGTTTGATGCTGAAGGCAGCCCTACGTCAGGAGACCTCCTGCATCACACATGGGCCTGGACATCCTGCTCTGTCTTCAAGGGAAGTCTCTGCTGGGGTCTCTAGTGGCTCCAGTGTGAGTAATGTGTGTTGATCATGGGCATGGTGCATCCAAGCACTTCCTGCTGTAAGAAACACACCACATGTTGTAGTCAGAGCAGTCATCTCCACCACCATGATTGCTACGGGTATAAATGCCCCCTAGTGGCCCATAAGCTAAAAGGGGCTTAATATTTTGTTTGATCTTTTGAGGGGACAGCGATCCTGAAGAAGTGAAAGAGGTTGGGGCTGTTCCATTGAGGGGACATTTGTCTCAATCTCCTCCTCTTCTCTCTCTGCTTCACCTCCTACCAGCACACTTGAGTTATAATGTCCTGTCCGACCTCAACCCAACAGGGATGTCCCCAAGACACCTGAACTGAGTCCTCTGACCATGAGCCCAAGTTGACCCTTGCTTCAGATTCTCTATTCAGGGATTTTTCAGTCTTGTAAACTTCATGACCACAATTCTGTGTACAGTGTTGAGGTCATCAGTGTAAAGAGTCTCCTTTCAGCTCCATGGCTTGTCACAAGTACAGCAGAAGGAGAAGATAACATTGATAAAAGTTTCAGAATTTCAGTGGTGGTCAGATTGAGAAATAGCAGAGAGGTCAGAGCCCTCACAGGAAAATCCCAATTCTAACCCACCGTCATGTGGAAGGCACTGGATCAGGAAGGTACAAGTTGTGATGTTCTAGCCCTTGGAGAAAAAACATTTCAGTCTGACATAGATGGGCAATGCCATTTCTTTTTCTTTTAACTGTTAAAAAATTTATTGAGAATTTCATACATGCAATAAGGTGTTTTGATCAAATCCATGCTCACTCCCTCCCCCACAACTCCTCCCACATCATCCCATCACTTTTTCCTGAACAATTTCATGTACCCTTTCTTTTTTTAATTATTTAATAACCATATAAGTAGAAGAAGCATTTCATTACAACATCATTGACATATTCAATAACAATTTCCAGAGCTAAGTTGCAGCTCTTTCAAAATTGGATGTAAATTTTTAGGTTTACAGTTGAATTAATACAGTTATACAATATTGTACTCAGTATAAACCCTATAAAATATAAAATTAAATGAGTATTTAACCTTTAGAAAAGATCTCCATTACATTACTAAAATACACAGTTTCATACAGAAAAATCCATTTTTAATGCAATTGGCACTAAGATGTTTGCACATGTGTTTCTAATCTCTATATATCTGATTATTACTAGTCACATTCAGTTACTTTCTGAGCTCCTTGGCATCTGAGCATGGATATAAAGTCATCACGTGGATTTCAATGGTAATGTTTTTCACATCTACTAATTATTAAGGAGCAAATTTTTATGCTTTGAAGAATTGTTTTTATAATTTTCTAAAAAATTTGACAACCACACGATTAGAAGAAGCATTTCATTACAACTTTAACATATTCAGTAACACACTCCAGAGCAAGGATACTTCTCTTTCAAAAGTGCTTATAGAATGTTCAGGTTTGCTGTTGAACTAATACTGTTCTACAATACTGAACACAGTATAAGCCCTGCCAGTCATAAAATTGCATGAGTTTTTCACCTTTAAAAAAGATCTTCATTTCATTTTAAAATACACTTTCTTACAGGAAGACTCGTTGTTTTTGCTACTAACACTGAGATTTTGGCGCATTTATTTCTAATCTGTTTGTATCTGATTATTACTAGTCATAATCGATTGCATTCACATCCTTGGCACCTCTGTATATCTATAA